ATTTTCCCTGTATATCTAATTTGCTGACAGTCTTTATCACGAAGTGATGTTGAATTTCAAATGCTTTTTCTGCTTCTATTGAAATAATCATATGGTTTTTGTCCTTGATTTTGATGATGCAGTGCATCACATTTATTGACTTGCATGTATTGAACCATCCTTGCATGCCTGGGATGAATCCCACCCAATCATGGTGTATAATTTTTTTGATGTGTTGCTGGGTCCTGCTTACTAATATTTTATTGAGGATTTTTATGTCTATGCTCATCAGAGATATTGGCCTGTAGTTTTCTTTTTTTGTTGGAGTGACCATGACTAACACCATGTTGGGACTTAAACCATATGCGCTCTAAAAGATTTCACAAAGACAGTTTTTTTCTTGGCATGCATTTCTCTGAGTTCTCTTTTTTCCCATGTTTGTTTGATATTTTGAACCTTGGTTATGGGGCAAAATGACATTATTTGCATGAATGTAAAGTTGTTTTCCTGTCATCCTGAAGCTGCAGGCTCACACATACTACCCAGGCCCTGAGATAACAGCAAAGATGAGAGCAGAAACCAGACAAGGCCTTGGCGAGACCTTGTACCTGACACATAGACACAGACCCCTCATAGTTCATGTGCCCCTCCATCCTGCTTTTCATTTCCCACGTTCCATTCCCTAATCCCCCTCTTAAAAAAACCCTCAGTAAACCTGAGTCTTTGAGATGGCCCGGCCATTTTTCCTTCAGGTTTACCAGTGAGATGGGTTAGCCTAACACTTCTCCTGAAGTCACTGGCATTCCTAAATAAAAGCCGGATTCCATTTTCACTAATATTTGACTTTTGAGTGGTTTGCTTTTGTCTGGAGGCAGGTAGCCAGACCTGTGAGTTTGATTTCAAAATTTGGGAAGGCTCGGCCAAGAGCTGAATTGGCCTGGTAACATTTTTGTTGTATCTTTGTCTGACTTTGGTATCAGGGTGATGCTAGCCTCATAGAATGTTTGGGAGAATGGCCTTTGTTTCAATTTTTTGGAATAGTCTGAAGAGAATTGGTAATAATTCCTCTTTAAAGGTGAGGTAGAATTCAGCAGTAAAGCCATCCAGTCCTGAGCTTTTCTTTGCTGGGAGACTACTGATTACTGCTTCAATCTTATTGCTTGTTGCTTGTTACCAGTCATTCAGGTTTTCTATTTCTTCTTGGTTTAGTCTTGATAGTTTGTATCTGTCCAGAAATTTAGCCATTTCCTCCAGTTTTCAAATTTGTTGACATATAGTTGTTTATAGTCTCCAATGATTCTTTGTATTTCTGTGGTATCATTTGTACTGTCTTCTTATTCATTTCTGATTTTTGTTATTTGGGTCTTCTCTTCTTTTTGAAGTTAGCCTAGCTAATGGTTTGTCTTTCATTTGTCTTCTCAAAAAACCAACTTTTGGTTTCATTGCTCTTTTGTATAGTTTTTTTTTTTTTTTATCTCTATGTCATTTAGTTCTCCTCTGATCTTAATTATTTCTTTCCATCTACTAATTCTGGGATTGGATTGTTCTTGTTGGTCTCATTGTTTGAGATGTAGCATTAGGGATTTTACCAGAAATTTTTCTATTTTTTTGATGTATTTATTGCAGTAAATTTCCCTCTTGGTACTGTTTTTGCAGTGTCCCACAGGTTTTAGTATGATGTGTCTTTATTTTCATTAGTTTCAAGAAATTTTTTGATTTCTTGTTCAATTTCTTCTTAGATTCATAGTCCATTCATGTCATTTAATTTCCATATATTTGTATAGTATCCAGAGTTTCACATGTTATTGATTTCTAGTTTTAATCTATTCTGGTTTGAAAAGATATTTGAAATAATTCCAATTTTTTTTTTTTTTTGTCTTTTTTCGTGTCCGGCAACGGATCACAACCCTCAGTGTCGCGCCCGTACTGGACCCGGACCAGCAATGGGATCGCAACCCTCGGTGTTGCACCCGCACCTCGCTCAGCCAGTGAGCGGAAACCGGTCTGTATGTGGGATCCGAACCCTCGGCGGGAGCGCCGCTGCACTCCCAATGGCGCACTGTAGCAGTGCGCCACCGGGCCGGCCCCAATAATTCCAATTTTTAAAAATTTGTTGAGACTTGATTTGTGAACTAACATGTGGTCTATCTTGTAGAATGGTCCATGTGCTGATGAGAAGAATGTATATTCTGTAGTTGTTGGATGAAATGTTCTGTAAATATCTGCCAGATACAATCGATCTAAAGTGCAGTTTAAAACCTGTGTTTTTGAGGGCCAGCCTGTGGCTCACTTGGGAGAGTGTGGTGCTGATAACACCAAGCCCATGGGTTTGGATCCCTATGTAGGGATGGTCGGTTAGCTCACTTCAGAGAGTGTGGTGCTGACAACACCAAGTCAAGGGTTAAGATCCCCTAACTGGTCATCTTTTAAGAAAAAAAAAAAAAAACCTGTGTTTTTGAGGGCCAGCCTGTGGTTCACTTGGGAGAGTGTGGTGCTGATAACACCAAGCCCATGGGTTTGGATCCCTAGGTAGGGATGGTCGGTTAGCTCACCTCAGAGAGTGTGGTGCTGATAACACCAAGCCCATGGGTTTGGATCCCTAGGTAGGGATGGTCGGTTAGCTCACCTCAGAGAGTGTGGTGCTGATAACACCAAGCCCATGGGTTTGGATCCCTAGGTAGGGATGGTCGGTTAGCTCACCTCAGAGAGTGTGGTGCTGACAACACCAAGTCAAGGGTTAAGATCCCCTAACTGGTCATCTTTTAAAAAAAAAAAAAAAAAAACCTGTGTTTTTCTGTTGATTTGTTGCCTAGATGATTTGTCCAATGCTGAGAGAGGGGTGTTCAGGTACCCAACTATTACCATATTCAGGTCTATTTCTATAGGTCTAATAGTGTTTACTTTATATATCTGGGTGCTCTGGTATTGGGTGTATATATATTTATGATTTTTATGTCTTCTTGTGGACAGATCCTTTTATCATTTTAAAGTGGCCTTCTTTGTTTCTTTTAATGGTTTTTGGTTTAAAGTACATCTTATCTCATATAAAAATAAATACTCTTGCTTGTTTTTGGTTTCCACGTGCATGGTTTACATTTTTCTGTCCCTTCAATATTAGTCTGTGTGTGTATTTACGGGTGCGATGAGTCTCTTGAAGACAGCATATAGTTGGGTTGAACTTTTTAATCCAATCACTCAGTCTGTGTCTTCTGAGTGGGGAGTTTAATTCATTTACATTCTGGGTTGTTATTGAAAGGTATTGTCCTACTCCTGGCATTTTATCAATTTTTGTTTGCATGTTTTAAATATTTTTTGTTCCTTTCTTCCCCTTTTCTTGTTTGTCTTTGGTGTTTTTTGGTCTTTTGAGATGGTAAGATATAGTTTATTTCTCATTGTCATTTGCATTTTTGTTCTACCAGTGGGTCTTGTTCTTTCTTGTGTCATTACATACGAATGCAGAACCCCAATTAGAGGTGTCTTCAAAGGAATAATTAGGCTTGACTTAATAAGAGGAGATTATGAGAAGAACGAACTTTGGGCAAATTATACACTGAAGAAAAAGAAGACACGAAACAAGGTAGCTATAGGAGATTGGAGCTGATTAGTATTTCAAGTGATTTTTGATCTACTTATCTTAAAAATAATATAAATATAGTGAGACATGGAGATGACAAGAGAAGCATGGTCATTGATCTCAGACTATGAGTAGGGGTGTGAACATTGGGACCCTTCCTGGCGCATACAGCCCGCAACTGGAATTTTGAGACCCCTATTCTTTTTATAAAAGAGGCCAGTGATTTTATTTTCCCAGATAACAATAACAGCAGCAATAGCAGCAGTAAACCCTTAAACTGTGCTTATCATGTAGTGTCTGCCATATATTAATGTTTCATTCTCCTCGCCTGTAAAACAGGGATTTTATTACTGTTGAGTCCCCACAACAACTCTAGGAAATAGGTATAATAAAGTGATTTGCTCAAGGTGACGCTGCTAGCTAGTGTCAGAACACGTACTGGAACCCAGCAAGCAGCCTGGCTCTGAAGCCTAAGCTCTCACTCACTGCGCCACATACCTCCTAGAGAGGAGAGGGGACACGTGCAAAATGCTGGCTCTCTAAGAGCACTTAATTTATTGGAAACTCTCCACGCCTCCCTCCCTACACCGCCCTTCTTTTGTCAAACACAACATCTTCTCTAGCCCTTACTTTGTTCTTGTCAATCTCCTCCCCTCCTTGCCGAAAAGCTCCAGGGAGTAGAAGAGAGAAGGGAGCTGCTCCATCAGTGAACAGCCCCCGGCCCAGGCATGCGTTCTTCTGCAATCGCTAACGTTCACGGCAAAATCCTTTATGACATGCGTGGAGTAAGTCATTTTAGGAGCACTCATTGAACGCTCAGAGAGGGAACGTTTATCAGGCATGCAAATACTAACTTACTTTCTAGGAATTTTTTTTTTTTTTGTCCTTTTTGAGACCGGCCTCACCGCGCTCAGCCAGTGAGCGCTGTGAGCGCACAGGTCATCCCTATATAGAATCCGAACCTGCAGCTGCAGCGCTGCCGAGCTCCCAGCGCTGCACTCTCCCTAGTGCGCCAGGGACTCTGCCCTAGGAAATATTTTTTTAACTTAAAAAGGCTTAAAAACGCTCAGATCATTCACTGCTGAATAGAAACCTCTATCCTCAGCGTTCTCACCCTGGCGCCCCTCTTCGCAGCACCAACCACCAGGGGGCAGTGGCGGCCGCGGAGACGAGCCGTTCCAGGCTCCGGGCGAGGCGACTCGGCCATCGCTTGCTCTGGCCTGGCACGCGGCTCTCGGCCGTGGATTAGCGCAGCTGGGGACGTGGGAGGCCGCGGGC